TATTTGCAGAGTTTAGAAGTTAATGTTTAGATGCTTTGTTTCCTGGCAAAGTGACCTAGAGATTCTAGTTTTCCTAGAAGTGCTTCTGGTACATGCTACCCTGGAGGAACTTGCTCAGTCTTATCCCCTCCCCATACTCTAAGAACCTGCTTTGCAATAATTCTTCTTCAGCAAAGCAATTTTGGAGAGTTTTTAGACTCTATTTTATTAGCCTAAAAATTGCTGATGGGCTGAAAGTCTCTTATTTTCCCAAGCAGTTAATATGTTGCTTCTCTTCAACCCTCTACAGTAACTACCAGCCAATAGTACAGACCAATACACATGTCTAAGATTCTTTTATCTAAATCACCAAGTTTCTACCATGCTACAATGGCTATAATGAGCACACAGTAAATAAAAATAATTTATTATAATACACTTGAAAGGAAACATTTTCTGTATACTTAACACAAGTCACATTTTTTGAAAAAAAGACCTCCTTAAATAAGCCTCTCAATTCAATTATATACACAAGAAGTAAGACAAAGAAAGGCTCTAGCTTTCCATTCGAGAATAAAGGCATTTGGAATGATGCCTATACAAATCTACTCACTTCTTCTCCATTAATTTTCTAGGATTTTCCCGTAAGCATACCTGGTTTTCTATAACCAATTTTGATTTGCATAAATTCTTCCCAGAAAATAAATAATCACATCCCCTAATGATTTCTCCATTAATGGACATTCTGGCAACAATAGATAATGGAGAAATCCTTTATTAGTTTCAAGAGAATTCTGAGTAGAACCATAGAATCACTTAGTCTGGAAAAGACCTCTAAGATCATCGAGTCCAACCATTAACCCTACTCTACCAAGTCCAGCACTAAGCCATATTCCCAAGCGCCACATCTAGACAACTTTTAAACATATCCAGGGATGGTGACTCAACCATCTCCTCCCTGGGCAGCATCTTTCAATGTCTGACAACTCTTTTAGTGAAAAAGTTCTTCCTAATGTCTAGTCTAAACCTCCCCTAGCACAACTTGAGGCCATTTCCTGTTGTTCCATCATCAGTTACTTGTGAGAAGAGAAGAGCACCTATCTCTTTACAACATCCTTTCAGGTAGAAGGTGATGAGGTCTCCCCTCAGCCTCCTTTCTTCAGACTAAATAGCCCCAGTTCCCTCAGCTGCTTCTCACAAGATTTGTTCTCAAGACCCTTCACCAGCTTTGTTGCCCTTCTTTGGACATACTCCAGCACCTCAATATTATTCTCCTATTCAGGTGCCCAAAACTGGACACGGTATTCAAGGTGTGGGCTCACATAAAACAGGCATTTACATCAGTGAGAATCTCAGTGTAAGTTTCCTTTAAATGTAGAACTTTCAGTGGGCTGAGGGAATATGATTCTGAGTAAATTAAGGTGTACCCAAAATGATTTTTTGCTTTTTGAAATGGACAGGCATATACAAAACCCTGATACCCAAATGTGCTATTCTGAATAGATAAAACACCTTTTCTTGAGATGTTAATAGCCACTCTCCAACTGCAACTCTGAGCTCTGCCTTTCCATCTGACAAACTGGCTGAGCATTAGCCCAGGACTCCAAGCCACAGCCCAAATGAACAAGAGGACAGAAATCCTTTTGCAGCCCCTTCCCAGCCTCACTCCAGATACCGCTCTAGGCTGTCTCCGTCCCAACCCTAACTCTAGGCCCAGCCCAGTGCATCAAACCATACCCCCAAAAGTCCAAACACCATTTTATCCAGGAACATTCTTCAAAAGCCAGTCTGACAGTACTAACATAGGCATTATCCCTAGTGTAGCTCTTCCTCATTGAGTCACAAGAATAAAAGAGAAAGCTGCAGTTAACCCCATAGTCACTGAAACACAGGCACTAGTTCTACTATAATGCTGCCTTCAAAGAATCACTGCCTACTAACATGGTTTCCCTCTCAGCACAGTGAGAATGGTTAGACTGAAAAAGGAAAAGAACAAATTGTTTTAAAGGTAAGGGATTACAGTTTAGCATTCAAAACATAGTAGGAACATACTACCAAAGTATTGTCTAAATCCTGTCTGCCTAGCAGACGAATTAACAAGAAAACAAGTTTAGGAGGCATGCTTACAAAGTGGGGCATATTATAGTTTCCATATCCTTAAAACATGATCAAAAAGATAGGCTCTCAGCACTACAAATCCCAGCCTACTTTTGGATGGGTTGCTTAGCTCTATGCAATGGCCGTTTTCTCAGCAGTAAAATGGAAATAATAATAGTCCCTTTTCTGATAGTAAGGCTCTGAAGCTTAATTCATTTAAATTCTGTGAAAGCCTTTTGAGCTCCCTGTATGAAAAGTGTTATTTAATTAAACATTGTTATTATTCCAAAGGAGTAACTGTAACCAAAAAAATCCTACTTATTTAATTGCCTATTGCAATTTGCCCAGCGTCCCAAAAGGAGCGCTTGTCCCTGCTCTGATATGGACTTACGCTAGTCAAAGTGTGGTATATGAGAAAAGCTTATTTTAACCACTGAAAAATTAAACAGATGTTATGACCATCAGGATTTTTAAGAGTGTTTATAAACTACTTAATGTTCTTTTTCTTAGTTTCATGTACACTTTAAATTAGGTTTGTTTCTCTTTATCAGTTAAAATACATTCTAATCTCTTTTGCTGTCTTATTTTAATGAATTAGAATTTTCTTAACTCTTTTTACAGAAACTAATGAAACACATTCGATTTTTCTGTCTACAAATGAGACCAAAGTTAGTGTTGCTAGTACTCAGCTAACACTGCATTGTTCTTTCTGTAAATTTCATCTATTGCTACATAAAATCATAATGAAAGGAAAAAGAAAACACAAAAGAGATGCTGCAGCCTGAAGTAATATTGGTTAGAGCAGAATCCAAGTGTCCTCTTCTAGCTTTTCAGAGCTAAAAACTCCAGAGTGTGGTGGATTCCCCTCAGAGTTTTCAGGTATTGTCCAATTTGATGGTGTTTCACTTGATAATAAATGCTGATTCGAGCATTCTGAATGAGCAGAACTATTACCAGGTTTTTTCCCCCAGGTGGGGTCATAGAGCAGCTCATGGAGGCCAAATGTAATTCACCGAGTATGAATCCAACCAAAAACTGACATAAACACAACTGGCAAATTCTTGTCCCTGCTGTGAACCCCATCTTGTTGGAGAAAAACTTAAAGGCTCCAACTGGCCCTAAAAGCCCAGGACTGATAGAAAATAACTACCCAGAAGGCAGCACTGGAAAAAAAGATTTGTAAGATTACTTTCTCCTGTCTACGGGGTATGTCAAATATGGGACTGAGCAGGAGTGGGGCACACAGAATCATCACAGAATCACAGAATGGTTTAGTTTGGAAGGGACCTTAAAGAGTATCTAGATGGTGTTTCAAAGGCCACAGTTAGGTATGCAACCCAAGGAACAGTGAGGAATGACTACAGTATCTGTCCAGAACAAGAATCTAAGACACAACAAACTCTCAGAAGCTCAGGATCTAAATAAATTGACCACAGTAGAAAGTCACAATGTCCAGAGTCTCACAGAAATATTTTTTACATAAAGTCCCATATAGTCTCTTAAAAAGCTTCATGGCACCAGCAAGTCTGCAGCACTGAGACCAGAAAGCCTCTCTGCATTGCAATGGCAGACCCACATATTACAAAGTTAGGGAAAGCAAGCCAATATTACCTTCTGCTGAACTGACATGCTCTTTCAGATCACTTCTTACGCAATTTGGAACTACTGTTAAACTTGAAGGCATGAGTAGCACTAGTAAGCAAGCTATTTCCACTTTGTTTCAAGAAAGTATTTTCCATATAGTACATTCTGATATACTGAGTAATGACAAGCTCCTGTTTGTTTCACAGAGCTTAAAGAGCAGGATGTAGCACAATGTTAAAGGTTTCTGCTTATCTCGGTCAATGCAAAGCCAAGCCCTGAAAACCATCTAGCATCATATACTCAATATCAAGTTAAATTTGAAAACAGAACATTTTAAAAGATCCATTTTCTTAGTCTCAACCATATACAGTATTTCTGTAATAATAAGCTCCTTCACCTCCTAACACTTCTTCCTTGGGATTCAGAATTGCCACTTACAATCAACCAAAGGAACAAAATTCTTCATAACTCACAGTGATCCATTTCAGAGGTGGTGAAAGGACTCACCATCACAACAGCCCCTTTATTTTTACCTGCACTACTCACTGCGTAAGAGCCTCAGCCATAGACCAGGGCCAAGTGGTGAAAAGCAAATCCCCAATACCAATAGCTTGCTTGTCCTAGACATCCTGTAGAAGACGGTACATACCCAAAATTAAATTAAAATAAAACAATTTCAGATACCTTGCCATGCAGTTTGTGGACGTCATATCTTATTTGAGCAAATTCACGGAGTCCAAATGATCCTCCAACAAGATATAGCTGAAAAACAACAAAATTAAAACAGGTGTGTTAGGACTACTACAAAAAAAGAACACTTTGCATTCTGACCCAATTCATTTACCAAGGAACCCTACCATTCTTCCAACAGAAACACCGAGAACTGAATAAAATAATAAACTGGAATATATGTATAGGTAAAGAGGGACTATGTGTAAAGTCAGAGCCGCCTTTCACTCTCTGAACCTGGATTTCACAGATTTCCTCCTTCATACAGACAGCCTCTTAATGGCTCACATTATTTAGGGACTTCCTCTTCTCTGACCCTTTACTTTCCCTCCCCATATGGCTTCCTGACATAAATGCAGCAAAGAAACCTTTCTCTCATTGCCACAGGATTTATTGTCATCATTTTCCAACTCTATGGGGAAGTGACAATGTCACACTGACTTACTCTAACATCTGTGGGTAAGAGATCTAAGCTTCTAAACAGACCAGTTGACTGAAGCTGTGGCTCAGTGATACATCACCACATAGGCTAAGAAATCACATCCAGCACACCTGCATTTTTATAATTGCCTCCTTAGTTGTCTTGCAATTCTCTCCACATGTATGAAGCTTATGAACAAGAATATTAAAGGGAGAAATGGGGGGGGGAAAACTAGTGTGGTCTGTTCACAGAGCAGGGAACTCTGCAGCAATAGCCAGGAATTAGAGGACCTACAGTAAATTTCTGACTGGCACTTTTGGTAAAGCTAAGAATTTAGCTGATAATTAGAAACAAAACAGACCAAAATTCTGTAATACAAAGATCCAGCTGCTAGGCCACAGAACTCTGATTTCAGAAAACCATTCAGAAAATCATTATGTGGCAGCAACTTTCAGCAACTAGAAACTTGACCTATCAAAAACTGGATGACACCATACTTGTAACTGTTCAAGGAATTGATTATGCTTTTGCAAATATTGAATCATCAAAACACACAACAGAAAAAATGGCATTTGTATAAAGGGGGGGGGAAAGAGCCTTCCTCATGGTAACAAAGCAGAAAGGAAGCAGAAAATAAAGTATTCAACTTTATTTAAAATATCCTGAAAATTATTTGAGATTTATTTAATCAAAAGCAGAAGATTTGTCACCTCAAGATATAGTAGCACATAATGCTGAAAGTTACAAGGATCATCCTATAAATTAATTTTAATATGGTTGACACCTCAATATAAGTTATCATCAGCTCATCATCTTTAACTCCTAACAAGTATTAAGCTTGTATTAAGCTAAGTATTAACAGCCAACAAGTTAACAAACTTTGAGTCCTAATGAACATAAACAGAAGTGCTATAGACAAATTTATGGCTGTTACAAACTACACCTTATTGCCTTTGTGTAGATTAGCATGTTGTCAAAGAGTGGGTATGGTGTGGCAAAAGCAACTGCATAGAAATGCTTTTAATACACTGTTGTTAAACTGGGCAGTAAGTAGCAATTACTTGACATCAATTAAAAATTATTTTGCCCAACAAAAACTTGCATGAGGTATGTATCGTCATGAGATGCAATATGAACAAATGGAACACCTTTAAGTGTCTTGTTCCTTATAGCCCAAATATTATTTAACACAATTTAAAAGTACACTGTGGCTTACAAAGCCATGCTCCAAGCTAAAAAAAAGAAATTACATTCTTTAGCTTTCATAATTTAAAACTATGCAATATGCACTGTAACTAAGAGAACTTAGTAGAAGGTTGTTGCACAAAATAAGTCACATGCTACTCAGTTTGTCTCATCACATCTATCACTTGTTTCACAGCAACCCTCTACTATACACTGCATTTCACATTTGCAGCTATAAACACAGTAAAGATGTTGATACACACACATCTCTCAGTTCCTTTAGATATGTTTTGGCCTGAGACTGTAATTTTGCTCACATCACCTTTATACTACTAAATGGAAAAACCCACTTGATTTCTGATATACTTTTGCTCTTCACACTGTGTAAACAATATAACTAACCTGGCAAGTTGGCATATTTCACTGATCAGGCATTACCAGAATAGCTGCCTTTACAGTTCCAAAACTGCAATGGCTGATAGATCTTACAATGAAACATTAGTTAGGCTGTGTGAGAGTCAAAGCACATTGATGGTCTGCAAAAGTACAAATGCCACTGAAATATTACACAGTGTAATGCTGGAAGATTAGGATTAAGATAACACACAAAAAATACTTAAAATTTTACTTGACCAATGTTCTAAAGAACCAAACACAGTCTCTTAAGACTTAACCACAAAACCAGACCAGAATCAGATGTATTCAGCACTATCAACCAACAGCATGTCAACACAGTCATCTGACAACCCTGAGCATGATGAATTGCCTTGATCCGCACAAGCACAAGCTAGAGCAGCAATGGACAGCTATTCAGTCAGTTATTTTTGAAAACTGTGATCGAAATAAAAGAAGGTATAAATGACTTTACGCAGCTATAATATCATTAAATGTAGAAAAGGACTCAGTGACTGACAAGGCATTGAGCAGAAATACTAGTCTTAGTGTATGTATTTCCTTTCTTTTATTCACATTGAGGGAAGATGTCCTCACCACCTTCATTTAAGTTAACTGTATTTAAAGGGAAGAATGCATACATGCAACCAATGAAGCATGAAGAGTCACCAGTCAAAACAAAAAGAAGTGGGATAAGACACAAAAATTCCAGTAACATTACCACCTTGTTGGCTTTGCACATTCTATATGTGTCACATACACTGCTAGTTTCCCAATTTGTAAAATAAAGATAACTTCTACACTATTTCCAAAACACTCTTCAGCAGTAAAAACCAAAACAAAATACACTATAATGGATGAATTTGCTCAATCTAAGTCAAGGGCAACAGTGGAGTCAAGTATGTTCCATCCACTAGCCCAGACATAAAAAAGACAGCAGAAGCTATACAAGATGCCATATAAATAAAAATTAGGTTGGTAACACTATAGTGAAGTCAGGGTCAAGTTCACTTTACACTTAACTGAAAAGGGATAAGTAATACCACATATAATGAAAATTACGATATATTTTTCTTCATCAAAATTTTAGAATCATTCAGATGCTTAACTGACATCATAAAATCTTAAGGCATTGGCATCTGAAAAGTACTCAAGCTGAAAATTGCAAGTGTACCTGCATTCTTTCATTGTGAGGGAACTATTTATTTTATATGCCTCAGAACATGGAGCAAAAAACTAGTATTATGTTCTGAACATCATCTGTCCAGTTACTTGAATGTATTCAACACATGGATGAAATAGCTTCTTCCTTTTTCCTTTACACCTGAAGTTTATGTTAAGAAGGCAAAAACCATAAAACACAGTAGTTAGCCAGCACTTAACACCAAAACAAATAGCTTAAAAGCACTGCTAGCACAACCCCTCATTAAAGGTCTCACACTGGAGATTATTCCTTTTATGTTTCAGTGAGCACAACAAAAACCCCTACAATGTTGTAATACAATTAGGCATGCATGGAAGACTTGTATGTTGCAAAACAAAATGAAAGATAGGATGTGACATAAGAGCACCATCTGTCACATACACTCAGCAACCTCAATAAATGTTTTATGTAAAAAAAAGTCACAAAATTCTATTTAATAACATTCAGTTTAAAATTGTATTGGTTAGCATGTCCTTTGGGAGGTATGTTATGCAATCAGTTATGGATGGCATCAGACTGATCCCTTGAAATGCATCTTAAGATGGGAAGTACTTGTATTTGCCATCAACTAAAGTGAGATGTCCACTGAGGTCTCCTAACAGAAGAACCTGGGACTTACAGAAGATCCCTACTTTTTTAATTTTCTGCATAATCTAATGCAGCCATCTTCAGTTCCTTGGACTAAAAAATAACAAGAAACTATTTCTCTGTTACAACCAGCAATTTGCCATATTCCAGGCATCCCTATTTTTAGAGAAAACCATTCCTACTATAGTACCAATTGTGAAAGCCAGATTACAAAATTACATTTGTCATAAATCCCTAAATTAACCAAATCACAATATTTAGTGCTGGCAACATAGATTATGCTGTGGTGGAAAATGTTATGATACACATCACTGGAGAAGGAACACGATAATTTTCTAACCTCTTGTTCAAGACTGCTGCTGTAAAACCTTCCAGCTATTCATCAGGAGTTTCAAAACGAGAACAGTCATATTAAGGTTTTTATTTTAGTTTCCAGTGATCATAGTGAGAAGGGTTTGGGGGTTTGCTTTTTAAAGAACTGTGGGATGTGCAGTGCAAGACTGGTGAAAGATGGCAATCTGACAGCCCAGAAGACTGAAGTCTCTTATTTGTTCCCTAAATAACGCAGCAGGGCAAACTGCCAGTCCCAGAAAAGACCCAGGCAAGTCATCTTAACCTGCGGCGCCCCCCTCTGCCAGCTCTAACTCTCCAGAGTTTATTTCCCACAGCCGTATACTAGAATTGAGAAACTGTAGAACGACTGAACTGCACTACATTAAAAAATGGTTGAAATATGTCAGTAGATGACTGCATGGATAACATGCTGGTAGCCTGGGACAACAGCTGGTATAAACTGAAGCCAATCATAACTGACTGATGAAGCAGAAGAGTGTAGTTTTCACAGCACATAGAACTCTGTGCAGAATATTAAATTTGACTAAAGATATCATGTCAATTGACTCAGTATTGGCTCATACAACAGTATGGTCGAAGCTATGATTTTAAAGATTTCAAACATGAATGGCTACAGGCCAGAGCACAACAAAAACTCTGTGTATCACTTCAATCCTACCATTCAATGTCTTGGGAACAAAATAAAATATTTTTGTTGTAAAATATCCATTTCATAACAGGTTGGAAAGCACACAAAACTCAGTTAATAGAAACCAATCTAAGAACAATGCAGAAGAGACAGAAACCCATATGTTCCTCAACGTGAGCATTAGCAAAAAAAGGGGCATTTTCAGCCACAGCATTGTCATCTTGTATTACACACATTGCTTGGGTTGGTCGGATGACAAA